AGATAGATAGATAGATAGATAGATAGATAGATAGATAGATAGATAGATAGAATAGAGTTACTTTGGAGACAATATAAAACTATTATGACATGAAAATTTCAAGTGTAATTTTTGTCATATAAAAAAAATTGTACTTAAAAGTTAGGAAGCTTTAAATAGTTTAAATGGGGGAGTTGGACTAGAACAGCAGTCCCCAACATTTTCGGCTCTGTGGACTGGCAATGGCAGTGAGTGGCAGGGAAGAGAGGATGGTTTTGCACATTAAACCTAATCCTGCATATGCGCAAATGCAGCTTTGCGTGCCTGCATGCTGCTTGCACAGCCCGGGTCCCAATGGGCCTCAGCCTGGTATTGGTCCATGGACTGTGGTTAGGGACCCCTGGACTAGAAGACTTCTAAAGTCTCTTCCAACCCTGTTATTCTGAAAGATATTTGCTGTGAAGTTCAGAGCATATGGAATATAAGTAACATTTCATTTACAGAACAATTCAATTTATATTGAATGTTTATAAAAGATAAATGAAATATCTGTGAAGCAACAGAATTCTTTGCAAATGTGAGTATATGTGCAGAATGATCGGCAGAATGTGTGCTCTCAATCAAAGCCCTGTTTCCAAACATTGAAAAATGAAGGCAGTTTTAGTCATGTGACCATAGCTACTACCTTCCTCTTTTTTATCCTCCCCTTAGGGGTCCCTATATTTGTGATTATTAAAATTAAAGGTCTTGACTCTTGAATTCTGTGGAGGTTGGTTTTACAAGAATAATATAATAAGCTCTTTATTAGTTCCATAAATAAGCTTAGGTTTAACCATAGGTATACTGACAACATGATTTGCAATGATTTTATCAGTTATAGTTTATTATTACTACTATAATAAGATAGACCAGTGGTTCTCAACCTTCCTAATGCCGCGACCCTTTAATACAGTTCCTCATGTTGTATTGACCCCCAACCAGGGGTGGGTTCTAAATTTTTTTACTACCGGTTCTGTGGGCGTGGCTTATTTTGTGGGTGTGGCTTGGAGGTCACGTGACTGGGTGGGCGTGGCTAGCTGGTCATGTGACCGGGTGGCCATGGCTATCTGCATAGGGACTACTCAGAGGGCTGAAAAAAGTCATTTCTGACAGGTCCTCGCACTTTTGACTGGTCCTCACACTTATGAACATCCTCACATTTATTCCCGTGCAGCATTCTTAACAACAATGTCACTCATTTCACAACTGCTTCTTTTCACCATGGTGATAAGATAGGGCAAAAAACGTAAAATGTGAGGATAGTTGTAAATTTGAGATCTGGTCAAAAGTGCGAGGACCAGTCAAAAATAACTTTTTCAGCCCTCTGAGTAGTCCATGTGCACAAAAGGACTACCCAGAGGATTGAAAAAGGTGATTTCTGACAGGTCCTCGCACTTTTGACCGGTCTTCGCACTTATGACTGGTCATCATTTATGCCCATTGTAGCATTCTTAACAACCATGTCACTCATTTCACAACTGCTTCTCTTCACCATGGTGACAAGATAGGGCAAAAAGATAAAATGTGAGGACAGTCGTAAGTTCGAGGACTGGTCAAAAGTGCAAGGACCAGTCAGAAATAACTTTTTCAGACCTCTGAGTAGTCCATATGCATAAAAGGATACAGCAATAGAGAGGGATGAAGGAATGGAAATTAGAGTAGGAGTGAGGGTAAGAGAGGGAGGAAGAGAGGAGGAGAAGGAGAAAGGAAGAGGAAGTAGGGAGGAGAAGAAGAGAGAGAGGAAGAGAAAGTAAGAAGGAAAGAAAAGAGAGAGGTGGTAGGTTTGAGGAGAAAGATTGCTGTACAATAAAAAAGATGAAAGGGAAGAAAGCCAACCCCAAACAAATATAAAGATATTAAGATAAAGAATGAATTGTTAAACTTTAAAGAATAAAAGAGAACACATATGAATAAATAGCAATAATTAGAAACACACATACAAACATACAATGTATTTTCTTTGAACGGAGTATTTGGCCAGTTCACAAATTTAAACAGTGTTTAGTCATTTCAATTAAATTTACAATTTCTATATTTCCTTTTTGCCATATTTATTCCTCATCTATTTTTGTAAAAAACCAATATTACCCTTCATCCTCCTCTCTAATCTTAATCAAATTCAATTTTTCCCTTCTATTCTATATTATACCCCTTCCCATTGTCATCTATTTTTATATCCATCCTCACATTGGTTAATTATGTAATATTACAGTTGTTTAATACAAATTCAACATTTTAATATAAATCAATTTTATATAACTATCTTTTTTGTATATTAATCAATATGAACATGAATATTCCAATTATTTTCATGCAATCCAATTTCTTACAAATCAATTAATTATATTTACCAATAATAATAAACCAAATAATTTCCCCCATATATTCCTCCAAGCCACAACTTAACCATTTCTGCTTTCAACACACTATACAATTAATAGTATCTCAATTATTACAATTCCCTAGTTAAATAGAGCTTTTTTCTTTTGTGTTTTAAAATCTTGAACTCTCCTCTTTTCCCCTAAATTTCCCATTGTTTGCACCTACCTTTTTTGGTGAGGAAAAAGAAAAGAAATCTGCCTGCCTAATTTTCCAACGTTGCAGCAACAGCAAAGCCAACAGCCTGCTTTACTTTCAGTTTCGTTTTTCAGCATAGCTAAGGGGAAAAAAATCTGCTCCAGCAAGCAGCAGAGCCCTGAGCAAAACAGCTGAGAGTCGGGAGCCGATCTAATCAAGGGCTAATTAGCCTATGCTGAAGCTCCGCGGGCCAATAAAATTACAAAAAAACACCGAACCATTTGTTAAATTGCTGGCTCACCCACCCCTCGCCCACCACTATTTATTGGCAATAAATAATGGTGCGGAGGAGCGGGGCAAGCCAGCAATTTAACAAACGATTCCCCCTAGAACCAGCAGAATCCCACCACTGGCTATAGAGCGGCCCTTTGAAGCCCAGCGGCAAGAATTTAAACAGTTTTTTTTCCTCTAGCCATCAGCTGGGATTCAGGAGGCGGCAATAGATTGGGAGTGGGCGGGGTAAGCGAACGGCCGGTGATCCAACAGAGCAGAGAGTGAGGGTGAGTGAAGGCATGGGGGGGGGTGAGAGAGGGCTTTGGCGACCCTTGTGAAATAGCTGCTCGACCCCCAAAGCGGTCGCGACCCCCAGGTTGAGAACCGCTGAGATAGACTATGACTATTTGATAAAATTCATAACCATAAAATTGATTTTTAATATTTTTAGTCAGAGATTGTGTAATTAATTGTACATCCTTTGCAACTATTTCCCCAGGTAAATGCCACTTATCTTGATGGATTCAGAGCTACAGCTTGCTGCCCAATGGGAGGACCAAGAGCAATAGAAAAGGGAAAAAGAATGGCTGAAAGTATTTTGGAAAGGTTAGATGCTAATGCATAGTACATTTCCCAATTGATTTATTATACAATAGTAAATTATTATTTGATCAGGATCCTAAAATGTAACTATTTCAAATGATGAACAGTGTCATATACACCTAATGATTCAAGTAATGTATTACCATTATTGTGTTATAAATTACCATATTTTTCGGAGTATAAGATGCACTGGAGTATAAAACGCACCTACCTTTTTTGGTGAGGAAAAGAAGAAAAAGAAATCTCCCTCTGCCTCTGAGCAATTTTGCCTTGTTGCAGCAAACAGTCTGCTTTACTTTCATTTTCGTTTTCAGCATAGCTTGATTAGCACAAGGGAAAAAAAATCTGCTCCAGCAATTTACCTCTTTGCAGCAAGCAGCAGAGCCCTGTGCAAAATAGCTGAAAGCAAATCAGCTGAGAGTCAGGAGGCTGATCCAATCAACTTGTGCTAATTAGGCTGTGCTGAAGCTGAAAGGAGCTGTTTTTTCTTGCTGTTTGCTTGCAAGGAGGTAACTGCTGCGAGGCACAGGCCAAAGGGTGGGGGCCAGTGGGTGGGCGGAGCTACATTCGGTGTATAAGACGTACCTAAATTTTCTCCTCCTTTTGGGGGGGGGAAGGTGTGTCTTATACTCCGAAAAATACGGTACACATTGATGTTTATCATCATCCATAAATGTTGTTAAAAGGGAGAGTGGTTTCAGACATTGATGGTTTTCAAATCCTAAATAAATGGGTGCCTAGATTTCATGTAAACAATTCCAATATGATTGTTCCCTGCAATAAGACAAAAAGGTAAAATCTGGATTAGTTTCCAACATGTTTTATTTCATTTTTCTCCCCAACTATGGTTAAAAAAAGGTCCAGTGATGAGGAAGTGCTTGGATCCCAAAAATTCACATAGCAGTAAAGACCTTCAAAAAAACGAAGGACAAACTCAACCAAATTTAGTCTCTCTTTAGTTATTTATTTATCTCCCTTCACAATTTACAATTGAAAGGTGATCTAACATCAAATTTAAAACAATTAACAATTAAAATAAATAAAATGAATAAATTAAAGTAACAGTTAAAATCAGCTATAAAAGCTTAGACAAAAGAAGTATTTAAGGGTCCTTTCAAAGACCTAAGAAAGGTTAGGGCTGTCAATTTCTACAATTTAAAGACCAGAATTAGCAACAGAAAAGGCTTTATTCCATACCACCGCTAAATGAATTTGCAGTAATTGTAGCTGAAGTTCTTTAGATGATATCTACAAGGAGATATTCTGTCAAATACAGTAGACATAGATCATAAGCTATGTAGGTCTTTTACAAGTAAAGACAAGCACTGTCTTTACTTGTTTTGCCTAGAAATGAATTGGTAGTAGTTTAGTGCTTTAAGTATAGATGTAAAATAGTTTTTTGTATTGGTCCAAGGGCTAACCTCAAGTAAGGCATATTACCTTGTTACCAGTTCATGCACCACAATTTTATGGTAATTGTTTTCCAGAAAGGAATGCTTTTGGCATATCAACCAGAGCTTATAAAAAGAGTTTTGGAAATCACAGTCTTCTGGTTTATGGCTTGGTGCCTTTAACCAGAACACTAGACTGGCTCTTGCTAATTGATGTTTTTACTTATAATTTTATTATATGTGTTCCAGTGTTGTGATATAATATGAGGTGGGATAAAAATAGATGCAAATAAAATAGAAAAAACAAAGTTGGTATATTTGTTTCAGGACACGGATTATGTTTCATCAGCGGGGATATAAGGACTACAGTGCAGTTAATCTACAGATTTTAGGTTCTGAAGAAACATATGGACCTCATGCAAAGCAGAACATAGAGGGTGTAAGTATGAAATGGATAGGCTTCAGGGATTAAGAGGAAGTCAAGAGAAGAATTATTGCATTCTTCCATCCCTTTGACTCTCCTCCATCATTTCACTTACTTCGTGGAAAAAAAATGTAGGAAGGGTGAATGTAAACAAAGATAAATATTTACAGAGAATGCTTCTTTTGTTTGTGGATTCTAATCTGCCATTCATAGATAGGAACCTGAACAGAAATACAAGTTTGCGGCTAAGCATTGATAAGAATAAAGTCATTTTCATTAATGATAATTTATTTTTGTTTATATGACACAGGTCTTCAGAGTATATGGTTTTTAGAGAAAGGTGTAAGCTGTCTAATGTTATAGAAGAATTGGGATAGAAATATTTTAAATAAGAGCTGTGGCTATCAGTCATCGATGCTGAATTGGGTGTTTGTTTTTATTGTTTATAATAATTTGTTTATATATATTTATATTACGAACTGCTGGGACTGGTATAAAGATTTCTGATAAATAAAGTATTTAGACTATATCATGTTCTATGCAAAATAAAGGTATGCGAGTGGCATCATAATTTATTGTTATCTTCCCAATTTTCTTTTAATTTCATTTAGTAAAATTCTTTATGAAATCACATAACATTACAAATACAATACTATTTCATTGTAGTATGCTTTCCACTTCAAAATATAATACAATCAATTAATCAAATTCAAGCAAGATGGTTCCTTTATATACAATATGCCATGAAAAGATAAACACATTATGGCTTCTTAAGGGTGCCTAAATGCTCATATACACCACAAATTAGTGGAGGCAGAAAAAGGGGGGAAGTTAGAAACCAAATACTGTATCATTTTAAAATGCTTTATTCTTTTAGTTTGTTTTTTCTCTTTGTACTTTATTATGTATAAATAATTATAAGTAGCATATGTATAAATAATAAGTAACAGTATAGTGGAGAGACTGAAAGACAGAAGACAGAAACTTTTTACTGTGTAACAAATAGTTTGATTCTTCAGTTGTTCATTAATTTAAATGACTTTATGCTTATCAAGATTGACATTTTAGAAATGATAGTTAATATTAACTATTTAAATATAAATCATATAAGCCATACTTCTTGATCAGCAGTCTAAAAATCATTTTGTATAAAGGTCATTCTTGCTTACTGAACATTTAGTGGTCACATATTCAGCATCTCTATGGACTTGTGACAGGGTTGAATAATGGTATTTATATAGCTCCTCAAAGTTCCTACTATTGCGGCATCCACATGGTCACATGATTATGATCCGGGTGCTTGACATCCAGCTCCTGATTATAATGTTGCAATGTCCCAGGGTCGCATGACCACCACTTGCAACCTTTTTTGCCAGCTTCCTACAGGCAAAGTAAATGGGGAAGACAGCAGGAGGTTGCAAATGATGACCATGTGTTGTCTTTGCCTAACCCATGATGATTACGGCTTAACATCAGCAACCAAAAGTGCCAGAATTTCTGTTGCTAAATGGTGCAGTCATGTGACATTGTTCTTTGTGACTGTAACTTAGTAACAGTAATTCTAGCCCTATTGCATTTGTTAACCAAGGACTACCTGTACACAACATTTCTATTGCTAGATCATTACTTTTAATATCTTTATTTAACATAAGGTTTAGCAGAGCACTCAATTTTACGAATTTTACAAAATAATGACAATTTCATATTAAGGTTCCGGAAAGTAGTATATAGTTTAAATTACTGCATCTTATGATTTCTGATTCACATTTTAGATTCTGTTCTTCACTTTTGAAGTAATTGTATAGTAAACAAATTCCTATTTGCTCTATTAACCTGTGTTTTCTCTCTCCTAATATTTCAAAACAGGGTCCCCGAGAAGTTGTTATCTGGCTTGCTGTATTTCATAAGCAGAAAGAAGCATTAGAAATCTTTTCCAGAGAGATTGCTCCAGCTGGAACAGGAATGGGTATATCTTCAATTTCTAACTCTTCCTATTTGACAATTCAAATTCATCACAATGTTTTCTTTTGGTACTGTACTTTATAAATAAATTCTAATTAATTCTAATTAAGCTGTAGAAAAACTTGTGGTCTTTTGATTAAAAAAATAAGTACTAATGATTAAAAGGGAATTTTATAAATGGGCAGAAAATTTTCAGATTTTTAAAAAACTTACTGTATATGTGGCGATTCTCTGGCAGGTTTATTCACTGTTAATTTCATTAATGAAAACAATTTATAACTTTCAAATGGGATTAATATTTCATGTATATATTCAAAATTGACAATTTAGGAATTGTTAGCTAAACAAATGTTTGCATTTATAAACAATTTAAAAGTATTGGTTCTGAAAAATATCCACATTTAAAAGATGAGTGGAAAACAAGGTTTTAGTTAGTGTGCCCCACACTTTACAGATGGATCAGAATATTGAATTCGTGTTTTGGCTTAGCATGTTATATAAATCCAAACGTGTGTAAGGACAGCTTCAGAGTGACCAAAAATGTTGCATACTTCCTCCCACCTAAACCAGTTAAAGGTCCCATCTTGCTGAAGAAAAGGAGCCAGTTCTTTAAAAAGAGTTGTCTCAGAAAAGGTTGGCTTTTTAGAGCATTAAAAATCCTAGGTGACTTCAGCTACGAGAAGAACATATTATATAAGGGGATAAACAGTTTAGCAATGGAGTAAGTACCAGTAGTTGCAGAATTACAATACAGGATATTCTTACTGATTGTAGTGAATGTCTCATCCTGGAGAACAGGTATCTGAAGGAGCCAAGAAGATGGTAGTGATTTGGACTAGGAGCACATAGGGATAGACAGGGTTATCTATGTGGGAAGATATGCATGAATGACTAGCAAAGATAATAAACTGAACAACTTCTGAATGATTGCTAGAAGCAATGGAAGCTAACAAGGGATCCAACACCAGACCAGGTATAGCAATAGCTGGCAGAACACTAAACCTCTTCATCCTGATCTCAGCAATATCAACAGACAGAAGAAGCCACCTTGGAGCAATGGCAGTCATGAAAATAATGATTGAGGTGCCAGAGAGTGGTCATGAAAGAAATTAGATTCCTCCCCACTCTACACTAAACAGGACTAATGAAGACTGTAGTAATTCAGTTGGCTGATATTATTATAAAAAAGGCTGGTTGCATGAAAAAGGGGAAGAAAGGTCTTGGAAAATCTTGTAGGGAACGTTGACAACCAGAGGACCTGGAGGTCCTCAAAGGAAGTGTGGAGCCCAGGAGAAGACGAGACAAAACCATAATAATCCTTTCAGAAAGAGGATGTCAAGAAAAAGCTCTGGAAGAAGCTAGAAGGAATTAGCTTCTAATTCCTTCTTTAGACTATCTAGGCTGCTAAAGATTAGGAAGTGCTAATGCCACCCCTCTTCCAAATCATTTTAAAAATACAGTTTTTTGGCGAAAGGGCCGCAGCTCCAAACAGGCCATGGCAGCAAACGGGCTGCGGTGAATGGGCTGCAGCAGTGGTGGTGAATGGGCTGCGGCGAATGGGCCATGGCGGTGAATGGGCAGCAGCAAACAGGCCATGGCAAACGCCCAGAGGAATACTGGATGGATGCTTGGGAGGAAGAGGCAGATTTTTTTTTCTTGTTTTCCTCCCCAAAAACTAGGTGCATCTTATAGTCCAGGGCATTTTATAGTCTGAAAAATGCGGTATATGGTGCCTGGTTGTGTGTAGCTTTTAATTGTTAACTAGGATGTTGGCAAACAGATGGAGAGGAAGTTAACCACCAGATTGTGAACAATTTGTATGATTTGAAGAGAAACCACTCCAGTATCTTGGTCTCTCCAGGGAAGTGCTTTTAATAATAGGATATGAGTGTGCACAGTGCACTTAAACAACGTATTAAAGATCTGTAAATCCAACAAGATCAGCTTGTTTTTCTCAAGAATGTTCATTTGAGCAGTCAAACTCCCCCTTTTGAAGCAGCAAGATACTAATGTCAAATAACCATCCCAAAAATCTATAGGGCACTTAACCTTAGCATGCTACAACGCACTTCCCATAGTAGTTTTGGAGGGCCAATACCTAAAAAAAAATACTACATGAGCTGAGACTGTGCTCCTGTGGACAAGGGACCATTGAAGCTATAGCTCACATCTTGCTATACTGCATCTTCTATAAGGACTTACAGACTCAATTTATAACACCTTACCTAATAAAATATCCAGAAAATACTGATCTTTTTTATATGAAACTACTGCTATCAGATCAGTACAAAGTAGTTTCTTTGAATGGCCAATTTTTGCTCTGAGAAAATTAGGTAAACTTTAACTGCCCACTGCTAATCCACCACCAACTTCAATATATTATTCTGTCTGCTTTTATTCTATTTACAATTATTATTGTTTTTAATGCTTTTTTTATGGTACTAGTCTGTGACCGTACTAAAGATTGATTGAACCAACAGATTATGACAACACAAGTAAGCAGTTAGACAACGAGACCCAAACTCATGGTAGCCTAACACTGCAATGAACAAGGACATTAATTCAATTTTGCAGTACTATGATTGTTGGATGAGCAGGGACAAAAATAGGCAGACAAATGACCGAAGCTCCTTGTCAGTCAGCAGGAACACTGATTACCACCAATTTACCAGATACTTAGCAGCCGAGGGCGCAGGGGTACAAGGAAACAACAATCAACAATTTATATCATTGTTAAGCCCAAAAACTTGGGAGAAAAAACTCTTGGTCTCAATAATCAACTCAGATTGGATCCTCCAACATTAATCTGAGACATTTACCTTCATTTGTGAGAATTAGAATAATATAGTAACTAAGAATCTGAGTTTTGAATTAGAAATTTACTACTTCAGAAATTATTTTTATTGCAAATATCTAGTTCACTTTGCAAGCTGTCATATTTAGGGTCACAAACCTCAATGAACTGAAGCACTGTTACAAAGAGTGGGCCAAAATTACCCCCACTGACGTAATCATAAAGAAAATGATTACTTCAAGTTATTGCTGCTACAAGCTATTGAATCATAAAGTGGACTTAGTTTTTCACAAATGGCTTCTCTATTTTGGCTTTTGTGTGTGTGTGTGTAAAATAAATGATGACATGGTGCAATATGTCATGTGTTGTTCATCTCAGGTTATATTTGCCAACTTTTAAGAATTGCTAAGCACCAGATGATTTTTACTATGTCCTGATAACAAAACCATAGAACTCAAAGAGGGTGGACTTTCTTTTTCACACGACTGTACATTCTCACTGGTTGCATTATTGTATTAGATCTTCTTAATTACTATTTATATTACATTTTTTAAAACAACATTGTATAACACTCTAAAATCCTACTCATGTATTACTAGTAATTCCTTCCTTCCTTCCTTCCTTCCTCCTCTGGTAAATTGTTGCTTCATGTTTCAATACTATCAACCTATCGTTAATCAGAATAGAGCTGCAAGGGGCCTTGGAGGTCTTCTAGTCAGCCCCTTGCTCAAGCAGGAGACCCTATACCAGTGATTGCTAACCTTTTTGCCATCGTGTACCAAAAGCAGGAGGAGTGCAGGGGGGTCATGTGAGTGTATGCCCACACCCATAATTCTATGTGCCCCGCCCCCATGCACGCGTGACCCCCCGCGCTCCACCCGCTTTTGGCAAGTGATGGCACGGTGGGCCCAGTAGGCCCATTTCTCACCCTCTCCAGGCTCCAGAGACTTTCTAGGAACCTGAGGAGGGCGAAAATGGCCTTCCCCACCCCCCGGAAGTTGGCAAATGGGCTGTTTCTGGCCTCTGGAGGGCCTCGGGGGGAGGGGGGAGGCCGTTTTCACCCTGCCCAAGCTCCTAGAAAGGCTCGAGCCTGGGGAGAGCAAAAAATGAGCCTTCCAGTCCCACCGGAAGTCAGAAAACAGGCCGTTTCGGGCCTCCGGAGGGTGGGGAAGGCCGTTTTCGCTCTCCACAAGCTCCTAGAAAGGCTCTGGAGCCTTGGGAGAGAGAAAAACAGGCCTTCCTCACCCTACCCCACCCCCCCGGCCTTCCGGAGGCAGGAAACTGTTTTCCTACTTCTGGTTGGCGCAGAAGGCCTGAAAATCAGTTGGCCAGGGCGCGCATGCACACCGGAGCTGAGCTTGCGTGCCCACCGATATGGCTCCGTGTGCCACTTGTGGCACGCGTGCCATAGGTTCACCATCATGGCCCTATACCATTTCAGACAAATTATTGTTCAGTCACTTCTTAAAAACCTCCCAGTGATGAAGCATCCATAACTTCTTTTAACAAACCTGTGCTGGCTACTAGTTATAACTTTTTTTGTTTCTAGATGTTCACAGATCTGGTTTTTTTTTATTATTTTTCCCAGTTTCTTCCCAAGTATTGATGTTAGACTAATTGGTCTGTAGTTTCCTGGGTCTGTGTTTTGTTTTGTTTTTCCTTTTTTGAGAATGGGAACTACATCAGCTCTTTTCCAATCCTCAGGTAATTCTCCGGTGTTCCAGGATTTTTGAAAGATACAGTACAATGATTGTGAGATAACATCTTCAGAACTCTGGGATGTAATCTATCAGGTCCTGGTGATTTATATTCATCAAGATCAGATAGGTGTTCGCTAAACATTTTCTTATTTTAATTTTAATTTTTAATTTGTGTTTTACAATTAGGTTTTTGGTAGGTTGGGCTATCTTAGGCTCATACCTCTTGAAAAGTTGTATTTCTTATGCTTTCCCTCTTTTATATAAAGAGGGATGTCTATAGTAGTCTGGGATCTGAATAAAACTTAATGATTTTAATGTAATAAACGTAATAAGTAAAATATTTCTGGAAATAACACAAAGTCAAGACCCATATAATGCTTGATCAGTCTTCATTTCCTTAGCATATACATTCATTTTATTGTTGGAAACACTAGAAATTTAGAATAGCTATGTTAAATATTTGTTCATTTAAAGAAAAGAGAACGACTGAATAAAAATATTAGCATTAGA